CCCTCGTCCCCCGGTACCCACACCCTACACCCACCGAGATGCTGGGCTCCGGGGCGGCGGCGTTGAGCGCGGCGTCGTCCCGGTGCAGCTGGTAGGTCCAGGACAGGAACTGGTCCCACTGGTGCGAAAACACGGTGGGCGGCGCGGCGCGGTCCAGGTCCTCGTTGGAGTGCTCGACGAGGAACTCGCGGCACCGCGCCAGCGCGAACTCCACCGCCATCTTGGGCACCTTGCCCTGCGGGCTCTGCACGGCCGCGGCTCCGCCCTTGTCCACCACCTCGACCAGCCACTTGAGCGTGCTGAGGCAGGCCGTCAGCCGGTAGTCGTCCACGAACGCCTCCATGTCGTCGGGCTGGCAGATGTTGTAGCAGCGCGGGAACCTGGTGAGCGACACGCCTTCCTCCGAGAACCAGTGCATCTGGCGCAGGAACGTGCTGAGGCCGATCTGCACAGCAATAATCAGGGCGTCAGTCTCTGTCGGCGAGGTGCGGGGCGCGCGGGGCGCCCGACAGCGGCGGGGTAGGCCACCCGGCCTCACCGGAGCCGCGCGGGTCGGCCTACCCTACCCTCGCACGACACCGCCCCCGCCACCCCCCTCCGACCTACTTTCGTCGTGAAGAACGCCTTGGGGAAGCGGTTGATGATCTGCCGCTTCTTGAGCCGCTTCCAGTCGATGCCGTCGAACTTGACGGTCCAGATGAAGTTGGCCGGTACGCCCCGCAGCAGGCGCGCCACCACGGCCTTCTCGTTGAGCTCCTCGCCGGCCAGGGAGTCCAGCAGCGACATCATCGAGTCCTCTGAAAGTGTGCGCAGGCACGCGTCGTCGTGAGGTCGGCGCTCGGCAAAATAAAAAAAAATCAGAAGCGTGTATAGCTTACCGCTTCTTATCCTGTCCCTGGACTCGACTACTTTTTCTTTCTCCTTTTCCTTCTCGCCATCCTTGTTCTCCTTGTCCCTATCCACGTCCTTCTCGCGGGTCTCCTTGAGGGTCTGCTCCCGCTCTCGGTCCCCGGGCCGCTCCCGCGGGCACTCGTTCGCCACCCACTTCTTCTCGAGCCACCCTCGGTTCTTGAGCGCCTCGCGCACCGAGGGGAACACCCCGCAGATGGAGAAGATCTTCTGCTCCTGGGGGGTACACATGATACGTGAGGGGAACACCCAGGCAAAAGGCGGACTTTACTTCAATAATTTCAGCAACAATCAAAAATTATCTGCTCAATTAGAGCAGTGCCACCCCTTCCATCCCATGACGTAATTGTACTTCTTGGTACTCAAACATAATTAATAAAA